TATTGGACCAACTCATACAAGTCGGCCATTTTGCGGCCCCTCTGGAACTCGTCCAACAGATACATCTCCAGATGTCTCAACTGATCCGTGACAGACATGTAGAGCTCGTAATAGGACTTCGGGGACAACAGTGATGTCCGCAATTCAGACAACATATTCGACGCGTGTTTTAGCGCTTCCATGAGTTTACCTGTCATTCAAATTATCACTCATTTAATGACACGTGTCTTGACATCAAAGTGTAATTTATATTAAATCAAGTCTTATCATATGTCTAAATAATGGGATCAATTGAGTGATTGTTATGTAATGTGTGGACACGTGTAACACATGTTTTCATGCGGGGAACCGATTGTAAGACAGAAGTGAACGTGTGATCATCTCAATGGACACACCATTCATATGCACCAATGTATGAGTTTTTGGACACATGAGTAAACCTAATGGTGTGGCAACTGAGGAGGAAGTGGTCATACCTTTATCGAGACAGCACTTCATCTGAAAGGACTGGACCTTAACGATGCCCAGCGACTCGTCCAACAGCTTCTCCTGTTGCTCTTCGGTAGGACTGGCCATCGGTGTGGTCTGTAAAGGCATTGTCTCTCTTTTCGTGCCACCAAAACGAGTGAATCAAGCGATTGATTAGCGATTTGTTTACAATACGAGTGATTGGTTTTCAGTGGAGAGGCGTTCATCAGGCAGTCATCAGTTGTGCCAAAATGTCTCACTTTTTCACTCACTTTTCGCATCAGTTTCGGGGATTTTTACGTCTGTTTAGGGTTTTCACACCATTTCTCATGAAATTTTTATGGCATTTGTTTTCAACTTTAAATATCACGCATTCGTGTTCACGTATAACGTTATGTTTGTGTGTCATTTAGCAAACCCCTATCAAAACGTGTAAAATGTAAACTTTTTAGAAATTACTGCAAGATTGGCGATAGCTTGTGAATACGTTGATGGATTACTTGATTTTTAATTAATATTAATGATTTACCATTTTCAAATTGTCATTTTTTATGATTTTATTAATTATTTCATCATTTTTAAAGCACCACTTTCTTTTAACATTTGTAATGGTGTTTGTTATGCAATATCACAATAAAATATATATAGTCACAAACAACATAACTCTAATAATGCGGTCAGGAGTCATAGGTATTGCTAATGTAAGCACGTCTACGGAAAACTAGGGGACATGTATTGCTTGCTTAACACAACACAGTTATTGCGAAGAGTGAGTGGATATGTGAAAAGTTAAATAACAGAGTATTTGTGAGACTGTCTGTGAGCAGAGAGTTGGGGAGAGAGAGAGAGAGAGAGTGAGAGAGTGAGAGAGGGTTGACTCATGAACTGGCAGACAATGGGGGAGCGACTTGGGGAGTGAGCGCTGGGAGAGAGAGGGAGTGCTTTGGTGATGAAGGCTAAGGGCTGGGAGAGTGATGTGAGAGTTCGTGAGAGAGTGGATGAGAGAGTGTTCACAGTATTTAATAATTAAATATTAGTCGCCATTACTGTTATTATAAGCGTATAAACAGTAATACACTCTATATTTAGTGTTATTATTATTATTTGTATTGTTATAGTGGTCGCGAACCCAACACAAACACCAGTGTCTTGTCTCACGTATTGTCGACCACTTGGGATGGGTTTGGGATGTGATGAGTGATTGTGTGACGACCGCCACTCACTCCCTGTCCGCACAGACATCGATGGCGAGCGTCCATCAAATTGGCAGCCAATGTATGCCACTGTCGCACTATTACCCCGATCACTGCACCACCAATTGATACCTATTTCCTCAGCGGTTATTGTCTCCGTTGTCAATGATATGGTTATTACATAAACTGTGAAAGCATTCAATAAATTATAATAAATTGATTTCAAAGCGTTAATCAAATATTAACCACAAACTGAGCACTAGTTTTGTATTACAAACGATACGATAATAAGTGAATTATATATTAATTGACAGTCATTTACATTAACTGTTATTATATTGTTGTTATTGTTATTGTGATTGTGATTGCAGTGAACAGTGTTATAGTGAGTGTATTACCATATAAGTGGTCATATCTGTAGCCATGTATGCG